CATGAGATAAGTAATAGATGTGTCTCTCTCACATCGATGTTTCTCTCTGCGTTTCTCCCCCTACCTTCCACTCTCTCTAAAAATCAATGGAAAAAATATCCTCGGGTGAGGATTAACTAAAAAAAAAATCTTCTTGCCTAACTCTACAGAGGTTTGCAGATTTTTTTGGTTGCAGTAATCCCTTCCACCTTTAAAGTAGTCCTCCTTCCCCTATTGAAATAATAATTTTTAATTAAAGTTTCTTCTTACTAAGTCTGGATTTGATTTTTATTGTTTACTGCTCTATATAAACATAAAATAAAGCAAATATTTTATGATTATAAATATCCGACCATTATGTAAATACTAGAAGCCCGGTGCATGGATTCATGCACCAGTGGGGTCCCTCAGTCTGGCCTGCAGGGATCAGGCCAAAACCTGCAATCCGACATCTCCTGAGGGGTCCCAGAGTGTGAGAGGGAGCTCTGCAAAGTTGCTGTTGCTTGACAGCTCCTGCCTTGAGCATCTTCCCCCTGGTGGTCAGTGCAGGTCATAGCTACCAGTCAGTCGGCCGGTCACTTAGGCTTTTATATAGAGAGATCTCTTGAATCTAATCATATCTTGCCAGCCTACTGTTAAACCCTAGATAAGATCACCAATGAGCTTCCTAAAATTATATTAAACTCTGATTCCACCTAATTCCCAGTTGGTTTCCAAAGCCAACTGCTATTGGAATCATTTTTCATTAATACTACAAAACCATAGCCTTGGCCATTGTGGCTCCGTTGGTTGAGTGTGACCCCATGCACCAAAAGTCATCCATTTGATTCCAGGTCAGGGCACATGGGCTGCAGGATCAATCCCCTGTAGGGGGCATGCAGGAGGCCGATGATCAATGTTTCTCTCTCTCCCTCTCCCTCTCCCTCTAAAAAATCAATAAAAACATATATTTGAAAAAAGAACCATTCATTTCACATACACAAACTAGCAAGGCTGCATTATTCATGGAATTTTAAATTCATTTTAGTGTGGTTAACTGGGCTCCTACAATTAGGACTTGGAGACATTCAGTGTGACATTAGGAATAAGGGGGGGAAGTGGAGAGTTTCAGATTGTGCTATAAAGAAGAAAGAAAAACCTCTCCGTGGAATATGGAGACATAAGTATAAACATTAAATAAGTCGTGACAGAGGTTTCTACTTCTAAAGTCTGGATTCAGTTTATTCAGGTTGGAGGTCTAGCTCCACCAATTCATGCTTCTAAATGTACAACCTTTGGCAGGTAGCTTCCGTTCCCTGGGCCTCCGTTTCTTTCTGAGTGGGAGAAAAGGGATAACAAAGCACTCACCTCATAGGATTGTTGTGGGAATTAAATGAGATAATGCATGTAAAGCACTTAAAACAGTGCCTGGCACATTGCCATAACTGCTGGCATGACCCTGATTCCAGTGGCTGCTGGAGACAGCTCTAGTTTGGTTTGAAATGGAAACGATGCCTCAAACACTGTGTCACCTTTAGATAATTTTTTTTATTTTTTATTTTTTTAATATCTAGATAAAAAATAGCGAGCCATTTACAGATCTCTTTCTCTAATCAGAACCTCAGGTGTATATATAAAGGTACTGTACAATATATAAACATTTACAACCAGTACATCCATATTTGCTTAGCATTCCAAGGCCACATTGCTAAGTCAGAATATAATCAATACAGTGACAGGTTACTTAGGAAAAAGCCACATCAGACTGACTTGAAAAATGGGGGGAAGAAGCAAAATACAAGCCCATATCTTCATTTATTTTTCCATAATACAAATTTATTGTGACACAAATGTACAGTGTTTGAACAGAAAAAGAAAGCCCCACTGTCGCATAGAAAGGACTTGAAGCAGCACGTGGGAAGCAGAGCGGCTCCAGGATGTCAGGTGTGTGGTTAGCGGCTCGGCTCCATGTATGTGGAGATGTCCATTTCTTCAGGAAGCTCCGCCACATTGACTTCAAACCGACCCTGAACCTCATTGAGGA